CGGCCCATCCCACTGGGCAAAAGGCAAACCTTGTCTTCGGGCTTCATCGAGCAATTCATGCCTACAAATAGGAAGATACCCAAAATTTAAGAATCATTATTACATGCATACATAAAAGAATTTAACAGAAGTATTCTGTTTGAGCATTTTCAAAAGTATAACAATATATATTCAGGTCATTTTCATTTGATCTTCCACAGCTTTAATATTACCAACACCACCCATTTAATACTAGTTTTGTACAAACTACAAAGAACGTCTGAGTGAAGAAATGTTGACTGACTCCCTCTGATTCTCTACAGAACCACCATCTCCTTACAGAATTAAAGAATTGTTACCAGCAGAGACTGCTAATAAACACTAGCACAGTCTTCATATTCAAGGTAATAGGACATTCAAGGAAAAATATAATCACTATTTCTCTTTTAAACAATGAAGAAAAATATCTAGGAGGAGGAAACCACACCTGGGTCTGAACAAAGGCATCTACTCTTTAAGTCTTTAAAAATGTTTAGCATTTAACCAAAAACTAACAAAAAACACAGTGCATATTCTTAACACTAAAAATGCTGTGATCTAATACAGCAAGCACGGAACGAATGCTGTTTCTCTTGGACACCGATATTTAGCTAGACAGGTATTCGCTAAGTTAAGTCACTGGGTCATCTGTGGTTTAACCCATACACTTTCTATCCAGAAGATCTGAAATCCCAACAACTGTCTCAGCACAGAACAGATCACGAGTGCCAAGAACTGACGTGTCACTGACCACCTCAGGGCTGAATCCTGGCCACGCGTTCCTGTGTGTGATCAGAAATATTCTGTATGCCTAAGTTTTAAATACCCAAGTCATGACTGTACCATATCAACATCTTTAAAAATGATTCGGCCTAACACTGATACATGAGAGATAACACTACAAATCTGGTGAACCTCATCTTATTTCTCAAGTGTTTACCTACAAGGCTTTCAAAAAGAGTCTAATTAGTTTTAAAAACAAAAAGCCTAGGACAGAAGATGACACTGGAGCAGAGAGGACAGGAACATTTAGTCTGCATGGGTGGGCATCCCCAAGTCACTTTTAAATTCCTAAGCCATTATTTGTCAGTTAGTTTTCTATAATATTTCTATGTTCTATACCATAGAAATCTTTTATTTCTAAAAATAAACATGGGTTCTTCAATAAATTTAATAGAATTCTTAATAATGTAGAGTCTATGTACAATTAAAACTCATC